TCAGCCACATACCCACTCAGCCACATACCCACTCAGCCACATACCCACTCAGCCACATACCCACTCAGCCACATACCCATTCAGCCACATACCCATTCAGCCACATACCCACTCAGCCACATACCCACTCAGCCACATACCCACTCAGCCACATACCCACTCAGCCACATACCCATTCAGCCACATACCCACTCAGCCACATACCCATTCAGCCACATACCCACTCAGCCACATACCCACTCAGCCACATACCCACTCAGCCACATACCCACTCAGCCACATACCCATTCAGCCACATACCCATTCAGCCACATACCCATTCAGCCACATACCCATTCAGCCACATACCCATTCAGCCACATACCCATTCAGCCACATACCCATTCAGCCACATACCCACTCAGCCACATACCCATTCAGCCACATACCATTCAGCCACATACCCATTCAGCCACATACCCATTCAGCCACATACCCACTCAGCCACATACCCACTCAGCCACATACCCACTCAGCCACATACCCACTCAGCCACATACCCATTCAGCCACATACCCACTCACTCAGCCACATACCCACTCACTCAGCCACATACCCACTCACTCAGCCACATACCCATTCAGCCACATACCCATTCAGCCACATACCCATTCAGCCACATACCCATTCAGCCACATACCCATTCAGCCACATACCCATTCAGCCACATACCCATTCAGCCACATACCCACTCAGCCACATACACACTCAGCCACATACCCATTCAGCCACATACCCATTCAGCCACATACCCATTCAGCCACATACCCACTCAGCCACATACCCACTCAGCCACATACCCACTCAGCCACATACCCACTCAGCCACATACCCATTCAGCCACATACCCACTCAGCCACATACCCATTCAGCCACATACCCATTCAGCCACATACCCACTCAGCCACATACCCATTCAGCCACATACCCATTCAGCCATATACCCACTCAGCCACATACCCACTCAGCCACATACCCACTCAGCCACATACCCATTCACTCAGCCACATACCCATTCACTCAGCCACATACCCACTCAGCCACATACCCATTCAGCCACATACCCACTCAGCCACATACCCACTCAGCCACATACCCATTCAGCCACATACCCACTTACTCAGCCACATACCCATTCAGCCACATACCCATTCAGCCACATACCCATTCAGCCACATACCCACTCAGCCACATACCCATTCAGCCACATACCCATTCAGCCACATACCCATTCAGCCACATACCCACTCAGCCACATACCCATTCAGCCACATACCCATTCAGCCACATACCCATTCAGCCACATACCCATTCAGCCACATACCCATTCAGCCACATACCCATTCAGCCACATACCCATTCAGCCACATACCCACTCAGCCACATACCCACTCAGCCACATACCCACTCAGCCACATACCCACTTAGCCACATACCCATTCAGCCACATACCCATTCAGCCACATACCCATTCAACCACATACCCATTCAGCCACATACCCATTCAGCCACATACCCACTCAAAGACCCACACACCTTGCTAACCACTTACCTACGCACCCACCTACACACCCACTCACTGACTCACTCACTCAACAATTCATTCACCCATCCACTCACCATTTCACTCCCCCAATCATACACCCACCCATCCACCCACTCCATCTCTAACTCACACACTCACCAGTCCACCCACTCACCCAGCCACTTACCTACTCACCCACTCACCCTGCCACCTACTCGACCTGCAACAGACCTACCGACCCAACGAGGCACCTACCCCCTAAACTAAACTACTTTTTATTTCCCCAGGTAAGGCCCATTGAGCTATATAGATCCTTTTCAGAATAGACCTGTGAACAAATTATAGATAAACGAAGTGGCTTATCACATAGACATTTATTGCAGCCAAATCTTCTAAACGCATGTTGATTCTAAATGCAGAGGGAAAAACCCGGAGGACCTGCAGCAAAATCCACGTGACCATGTGTAGAACATGCAAACTCCAAATATACAGGCGACAGGGTCAGGATCGAATCCACAACCTCCTGTATACCAGGCGAGGCAGTGCACGTCTCACCACCTTGGCGCCTCACTCTCTGACTTACCCATCCAATAACTCAAACACTAACTTACCCACTCAACCTCCCACATCAACTCACCCACCCACTCAGTCAACAACTCACCCACCCACCCAACCACTCACTCCGTTAACCACTTTCTCACCGACCCACTCACCCTACGAACACTCACCAAGCTACACACTCACCTACCAACACACCCATTCACTCACTTGCTCACCCACCCACTTACTCACCCAACCACTAACTGACCAACTCACCCACCCACAAACTCACGAACAAAAAAGACACCCACTCAACCCATCGCTTACCCAACCCCTCACTCACCCACTTACTGAATCACCCACCCACGCACTCACCGACCCACCAACTCACTTCACCCACCCAATACTCCCTCACCGAGCCACTCAATCTCTAACCCACCCACTCACCCAACCACCCACTCACCCAACCACACACTCAATCTCTAAACCACACACAAACCCTACTACTGACTCAATCTCTTAACCAAAGCTCACAAACCCACCCATCCACTCACTCACCCAGTGACTAACCCACTCACTCGATTTCTAACCCATCCATTCACGCACTACCCACCTAACCTCCTACCCACACACACTCACCCACCCACACATCCATGCACCCACACACTCACCCACTCACTCAACCATCCACTCACTAACTCACCCAGCCGTGCACCTACTCACTCACCCACCTTCAGATCCACTCACCCTGCCACCTACTCAATTTATAACCCACCCACCCACCCAGCCAACCACCCGCCGACTCCCTCAGCCACTCAGCCACTCACCCACTACCCACGTAATTATTGACCCACCCACTAATTTAATCACCTACTAACGTAACCACCCACTAACTCAACCACTAAGTTACTCGAACTTACCCACTCACCAAGCCACCCACTAAATCTCAAACCCACACTGATGCACTCACCCACCCGCCCACTCACCAACACCCTTAACTAAATCTAAAAAAAAAAATCCCCAGGTAAGGCCCGCTGAGCTATATAGGTTGTTTTTAGAAGCAGGGTTTGGATCGAACCTACGAACTTAAAAATACCAGGCAAGGTAGTTAACAATTTGCCAACATGGCACTCCACTCTCTGACTCTCCCACCCACGATAACACACACTCAAACACCCACCCACTAACTCAACCATCCATTCATTCAACCACCGAGCCAAGCACACACTCACCCACTCACCAAGCCACCCACTCAATCTCTAGCCCACACTCACTCACCCCACCACTGACCTACTACCCATTAAACTATTCTTAGGTTTTTTCGGTAAAGTCACGTAGGTAAAAAAAATGTAAATTAATAAAAGTAAAATAAAACACCCATCAAACATCGCACTCACTCATCCACTCACCCACCCAGCCACTCCTTTGCACACTAAATGAAAATTACGCTTTTTTATTTTACCAGGTAAGGCACTCAGCTATATAGATATTTTTCAAAAACCATTTGACCAGAAATATTCAACTCAATTAAGTGGCTTTTCACGTATAAAGTGATAGCAGCCAAATTCTATAATTGCATGTTTTTAAATGTGGAGGAAGAACCCGGAGCACCTGGAGAAAATTCCACGCGGCCATGGGGAGAACATGCAAATATACAGGTGTCAGGGTCGGGATCGACCTCACGACCTCCTGTATAAAGGCGAGGTAGTTAACAGCTCGCCACCACGGCACTGCACCCACTCACCCATTCAAAACCACCCACCAACCCACTCACAAACCCACTCACCCTGCCACCCACTCAATCTCTAATCCACTCACTCAACAATTTACTCACCCACTCACCTACTCAACTATTCACACCCCCACTCACACACCCACCCATTTACCCGCTCAATCTCTAACCTACCCACCAAATCACTCAATAACCCACCTACCCACTCACCCACCCAATAAACTAAATTAAACAATATCTTTTTATTTTACCAGAAAAGGTTCAGATAACTAAATTAATATTTTTCAGAAGTGACCTGGTTACAAATGATAGGTTAACGAAGTGGATTATCATGGAGACATTCATTGCAGCCACATCCTCTAAATGAATGTTGATTTTAAATATGGAGAGAAAACCTGGAGGACCCGGAGAAAAATCCCCACGACCACAGGGAGAACATGCCAACTCCAAATATACAGGTGCAAGGGATGTGATCGAATTCAGAAAATCCTGTATACTAGGTGAGGTAGTTAACATGTCGCCACCGTGGTGCCCCACTCTTTGATTCACCCACGCACCCAATCACACACTAACTCACCTGCTCAACCTTCGATATTCACTCACCCACCCACTAACTGACTCACCCACCCACTCACCCAACAATCTACTCACCCGCCCATTAACCTATTCACTCAACCCCTCACTCACCCACTCCCCCACACAATATCGCACTGACCTACCCACGCACTCACTCACACAGTCACTCAATAATTCACCCACCCACCACCCACTCACCTATTCACCCACCTAGTCAACCATCCACCCACTCATGCTCCCATACACTCACTTACTTATCCAGGTACTCACCTACTCACCCACCGACTTACTCACCCATTAAGCCACTCACCCACTCACCCTCCCAATCACCTAGTTACCCACCCACTCAATCTCTAACCCACCAATTTTCTCATCCACTCACCAACCCACCTCTCAGCCACTCCCTCACCCACTCACTCACTTCAAACCATTCACTCACCCACCCACTAATTCACACAATCACCCACCACCCACTCAATCTCTAACACACTCACTCACCCACTCACCCACCGACTCACCCATTGACTCACCCACCAACTCACTCACAGACCCACCCAGTTAATCACCCACTCTATGTGTAGTCCTCACCTCTTCCAGTATTGTGAGATATTCTTCCTCCCAGCGGTATCTTCACGACAACGCCCTGGGGGGTGGGCAAGCCTCTCAACGAGTCGGGCGAGCGGGGCAACAGCCTGGTCATGTTGGGTTCATAGCGCAGTGCGGCACACGCATACACACAAGCAGACCACACACATATGAACACAATAACAACAGTGGGAGCCACTCACGCGATAGGGATGGGCCGCATGGTCCACTCCAGCTCGATGTACGGCTTGCCCGGATACAATGTTAACTACCTCGTCTGGTATACAGGAGGTTGTCGGTTAGATCCCAACCCTGACACCTGTGTATTTGGAGTTTGCATGTTCTCTCCGTGGTCAAGTGGATTTTTATTCTGGTCCTCTGGATTTTCCCTACACATTTAGAAACAGGCATTTAGAGTAGTTGGCTGCTATATATTTCCACATAAGGCACGTTGTTGACCTATCACTTGTGGCCAGGTCACTTCTAAAAAAAGAGTTATGTTACTCAGTAAGATGGTTGAGACACAGGTGATGAGCCTGTGTGTAAGGGGTTGAGTGAGTGAGCGGTTTAATTCATGATTGAGTGATTGATTGGTTGAGTGAGTGGCTGAGTGAGTGAGTGAGTGAATGGTTGAGTGAGTGGCTGAATGAGTGATTTATGGAGCGATTGGTTCAGTGAGCGAGCGGGTGGTTGAGTGAGCGAGTGAGTGGTTCAGTGAGTGAGTCGTTGAGTGAATTAGTGAGTGGTTGAATGAGTATTTGAATGAGTGAGTGTTTGAACCAATGAGTGAGTGTTTAAAGCGCATGAGTGTGTGGTTGAGTGAGTGGTTAAGTTAATGACTGAGTGAGTGATTGATTGAGTGGTTGAGTAAGTGGATGTTTGAGTGAATGGTTGAGTGAGTGGTTGAGTGAGTGAGTAGTTGAGTGAGTGGTTTAAGTTAGTGGATGAGTGAGTGAGTGGTTGTATGTGTGGCTGAGTGAGTGAGTGGATGAGTGAGTGAGTGGCTGGCGCGCACCTTGGCTGCGTTGTCCAGAGTGTCCCGCTGGTGCCGCTCCACTGTGTTGCTGCACTCCGCCAGGGTGAGAGCGACGGTGCCGCGCCCGCAGCTGCTCCAGCGACTACGCCATCTTGCCCAGCCCCTCCTGGCGAGCACGCAGCATGCCCTGGAGCTCCCATCACATGGTGCTGGCAATCTGAGACACCCGCCTGTAGCACACACACAGAAGAAGAGATACGGGAATGGATTAGGGTGACCCGGGTGACGAGTTCACTACTTCGCCCGGTATACAGGAGGTTGTAGGTTTGATCCAAACCCTGATGCTTACATATTCAATTCTGCTCGTCCAGGCGGGGAGAATCCAATCACATTTATTCGATGCGATGTTTCTCATGGGATATAATAAGTGACAACATTTGGACCCCAAACCGAGAGGATTCTGGGATGTTTGTGGTTTTTTGGCAATAACTCTGGAAAGAAATGTCGCAGACCCATCAAGGTGGGACTCGTCCAGCGACATAATGGTTGAGTGACTGGTTGAATGAATTCGGGAATGGTTGAATGAGTGAGTGGTTGAGTGATTGAGATAGAGTAACTGAGCGGCTGAGCGGTTAAGTCAGTGAGTCGTTGAGTGAGTGTGGCTGATTGAGTGAATGGTTGAGTGAGTTAAAGAGTGATGGTTGAGTGGCTGAGTAAGTGATTAAGTGAGTGAGTGGTTGAGTGAGTAAGTAGCTTCGTGAGTAAGTAGCTTCGTGAGTGCGCGGCTGAGTGGTTGAGTGTGTGGCTGAGTGAGTGGCTAAATGAGTGAGTGGCTGAGTGAAGGAGTGAGTGGCTGAGTGAGTGAGAAAGTCATTGGTTGAGTGGTTGAGTAAGTCATTAAGTGAGTGAGTGGTTGCTCGAGTGAGTGGTTAAGTGAATGGTTAAGTGAGTCCCCAAGCCGAGAGGATTCTGGTGAGTCGTTGAGTGGTTTGGTGAGGGGTTGAGTGAAAGGTTGAGTGAGGGGTTGAGTGAGAGAGTGAGTGGTAGAGTTAGTCGTTGAGCGAGTGGTTGGGCGAGTGGTTGAGTGAGCGAGTGCTTGAGTGAGCAAGTGAGTGGTTGAGTGAGTAAATGGTTGAGTGAGCGAGCGGTTGAATGAGTGAGTGGTTTAGTGAGTGAGTGGCTGAGTGAGTGGCTGAGTGAGTGAATGGTTGAGTGAGTGAGAGCGTGATGGTTGAGTGATTGAGTGAGTGGGTGGTTGAATGATTGGTTGAGTGGTTGAGTTAATTATTGAGTGAGTGAGTGGTTGAGTGAGTGAATATCTGAGTGAGTGAGTGGCTGAGTAGTTGAGTGAGTCGTTGAGTGAGTGTGTGGCTGAGTGAGTTTGTGGCTGAGTGAGTGAATGGCTGAATGAATCACAGCTATGATAAAAATGGATATCATCATATAAGTGGTCTTGTATTCACTCAGTAAATGAAGTTTAATATAAAATTGTACACTCACAGGATCGAAATAAAGATGACATTGCACATCGGAGTAAACCGAGTCGCGGCTATGATGAAATTTTGCATTAGCATAACATTGATTTATTAGCATACAAAATGACTTTTTGCAGAGCGATTTAATACAAAAGTCTGATAGACTACATGCATTTGTTTTTTAATAAAAAGTACATACAAACCAGGCATCAATACCGTTGCTTTGTATGATCTGTGAAACGCAGAAATTTTCAGATAAAATCGGACATTTTGAGCTTGCTGCTGTAACGACTGAGTGGAATCAATACAATCAGTATCGATTCACAATCAACAAAGACCATATATAGGAAAATCTCTGATCGGTGATTTTGATTGCATCGTATTGCAGCACCCCTTTGATGATGTTATAAAGCACTTGCCCCAACAGTCTGTTAAAGGCTACACGGGGATCTTTGTGTGCGAGTAGCTCACAGATCCTTGAGAGATCTGAACACTGTCCGATCATCAGCGAGCTCCTCCGGCAGGCGAGGCTGCGTTGGCGGTTGTCTGTGCATTAAGAGGTGTTAACTATCCCACGCAGAGAAGTCTGCTTACAGAACATAAGAGGTTCTTCACGTGCCGTGCCCCGTGTCACCTGAATGTTAAATGGGGCTCCGGCAATTCAGTATCCACCGCCGAATCATCTTTCACCATCACCACGCGTCCATTAAGGCCAATGTGACGAGGCCATAGATAGACAACGCGTTATAACGGGGAGGGGGGGGGAGCAAGAAAAACGTCGTACTATGTGACATCACAACACCCTGCACACAGCCATAGTGGCTGATTAGGGTGCGCATCATTTACGAATGTCGTTTAAGTGGTTGAGAGTAGATTTTGGTGTAAATTGATCACGATGCTTTGCGTAGCCTGTGTGGGTGCGTTAGCAGATGAGTGGGTGAGTGCGTGAGTAAGCCGGTAAGTGAGTATGTGGGTGGATGGAGGGAGCTGGGCGGGCACGGCATGGGCTGGAGTGGAGGTGGACTGACGCGGTACGGGAGGATGTGGAGCTGAGTGGGCTTTGCCGACGACTGGTACCAGTGGTGTCGAGATCGGCCTCTGCGGGGAGGCTCGTGAAGGATGCTTCTACTTGGCAGTTGGCGACACTCGCCCTCCAACAACAACGGAGGAGTGACGCTCACAACAACGAGCGGAACACCGGATGATAAATATGCAGCAATTTGGCACAGTACAGGGTACAGGTGGTGCTGCCAGTCATCTCAGTCAGCCAACCCATGGCACCTGGGTCTGTTCCAGGACCTCCGGTCAACGAGCCTTCGCCACTTCACGTGGCTTCAAAGTGCACCTGGCCTGGCACAGGCGCTGTGGTGACGTCACTGTCACTTATTGGCGAATGGTGACGGTTGATAATACAGCGGTGGTTGTGAGAGATGCCATTTTGGGGGGGGGGGGGGGGGGGGGGCGCCAACCCTGACCAGCTGTGAACCTCACGTCGCCCGCAGCCACCAGTGGCCACAGGGAGTTCTGGATGGGTGCGAGGGGCTGGTAACCCCCCTCCACCTTCAACTAAATCACCACACATTCACGTGCGAGCCCTTGGGTCTCTCTGTGAGTCTATGGGTCTCTGTGGTGAGTCTATGGTTCTCTGTGAAAGTCTGAGGGTCTGTGCGTAGTGAGTGTATAGGTCTATGTGCGATGACTCTATGGGTCTCTATGTGATGGATATCTGTGGTGTACATATCCTGGCACAAGCGCCGTTAGTGGAGAATGCTCCTCCCACTACTCCTGCTTGTTGTTGTGCTCGGGAAGGAGAGATAAAACTAGACTAAAATCTCAACGATTTTCATTTCACCAGGTAAGGTCCACTGAGATAAACATCTCTTTTATTACGCACTTTTATTTAACTCACTCTGTTGTTGTTGTCGTATCCTCAAATCTTGCAACTCAATTTTAACCCACTTCCCAATTCTTAAACAACTACGCTGGTTTGGTCGTCTGCGTGCGTATCTGGACGTTAATTTATTTACGGACCCGCCCAAACAGCTCGCTCTGATTCGATGAAAATAATACAGCCGGCAAAAAGCCACAGCTCACTTTGATTCGATAAAAATAATTAATTAACACGCCCGGAAGAGAGCGACAGCATAGGTTTGGCAAGGTCTGCGCCGCAGTGTTGCAGTGCACTGTGGGCGCAGACCCTGCGCTGTGTGAGTGTGGTGTGTATGCAAGTGTGCGAATGGTAGTTACGCTAATATTACGTTTATTTATGTAAAAAATGGGTGCTGCGTGCTGCGATTAGTGGAGTCCCCAAACAACTTTACCTTACGAGTCGGCAGGGGTCGCTATACAGTGAGTCTTAGCGGACTGAGCTGGCAGCTTCACCTGCCGGGACCACGGCCAGTTGCGTAGCGCACCCCTACAGTTTCGCCCATGGGTCAATACCCCCATGGGGCAACCCAGCTGACTGTTTGATGGGTACAATGGGTACTATCCGGCGTATTACCATTATTATGTATTGACGTTGATCACGTCTCCATGGACGGCTTGCTGTCTACTTCCGTTGTGTAATTCAGATGTTGTGCATGCTGCTGCTCGTGTGGTATCGACTGCAAACTTGGTATACTTATGTCATACTGATGACAAAATTACATTCTATAAAAAACAAGTAGTTTTAAACATTCATTTTATATGTTATGTTTCGGCTTGGGTCTAATTGTCCACGCTCAACTGGGTCTAATTGTCCACGCTCAACCCACTCACCCTGCCACTGACCTACTCACCCACTCACCCTGCCACCTACTTGACCTGCAACAGACCTACCGACCCAACGAGCCACCTACCCCCTAAACTAAACTACTTTTTATTTCCCCAGGTAAGGCCCATTGAGCTATATAGATCCTTTTCAGAATAGACCTGTGAACAAATTATAGATAAACGAAGTGGCTTATCACATAGACATTTATTGCAGCCAAATCCTCTAAACGCATGTTGATTCTAAATGCAGAGGGGAAAACCCGGAGGACCTGCAGCAAAATCCACGCGACCATGTGTAGAACATGCAAACTCCAAATATACAGGCGACAGAGTCAGGATCGAATCCACAACCTCCTGTATACCAGGCGAGGCAGTGCAGTCTCACCACCTTGGCGCCTCACTCTCCGACTCACCCATCCACTCACTCACACACTAATTTACCCACTCAACCTCCCACATCAACTAACCCACCCACTCGCTGACTCCACTCAGTCAACAACTCACCCACCCACCCAACCACTCACTCAGTTAACCACTTTCTCACCCACCCACTCACCCTACGACCACTCACCAAGCTACACACTCACCTACCAACACACCCATTCACTCACTTGCTCACCCACCCACTTACTCACCCAATCACTAACTGACCCACTCACCCACCCACAAACTCACGAACAAATAACACACCCACTCAACCCATCGCTCACCAAACCCCTCACTCACCCACTTACTGAATCACCCACCCACGCACTCACCGACCCACCAACTCACTTCACCCACCCAATACTCCCTCACCGAGCCACTCAATCTCTAACCCACCCACTCACCCAACCACCCACTCACCCAACCACACACCACCCACTCACCCAACCACACACTCAATCTCTAAACCACACACCAACCCTGCTACTGACTCAATCTCTTAACCAAAGCTCACAAACCCACCCATCTACTCACTCACCCAGTGACTAACCCACTCACTCAATTTCTAAACCACC